GCTAGTCCCGCTCCGCAGGACTTTTGTAAAGCATGCTTGTGGCATGTTACAGGCGCTAGTATTATCGACCTCAGAGACCCAAACACTAATTAATAATTAAGGCTCAAAGTATGGTCGAACAACCGTCAAACAAACCGGTCAAACAACGAAAAGAGACTAGTGCGACCGCTAGACGGCGGTCTCCGCCGGCCCCAAGGCTGCCCAGCCCCAGTACCACCCCGGCCACATACACCGTGGCGCTGGAGTTGGTCAGTGAGGCACTAGACGGGCTACGGAACCATGCGCGCGCCGGCCGGACAGGCTGCGCGCAGGTGCCGCGCCGCCTCGATTTTGCTTCTCCGCTCCGCGGCCGACTGAGGGGCCAGCTCGCCCGGCGACAAGCCCAGCCATCGCCCAGTGCCCCGGACCGCGGGGGGCACGCAAAAAACTGCACCTACGACTAGGGCGAGCACGTGAGGGCGTCGGTGTCGGCCGCGGGCACGCTGCGAGGAGGGCGCGGGTGGGAGCATGGGAGATGCACCACCGCTCGACGAAGACGCGCCCGACGAAGCCCTGCTTGCGGAGGATGGTCGATCCTCACCTACTAGCGTCGGGCGTGTGCAAAAAAGAGCGCAAATCGGAGCTCAACTCGCGCGCGGCTGGGAAAGGGGTGTGGCACCCCTCCGAAGGCGCCTAGCGAGGAGCTGCTGCTGCCCCCAAACGCGCTCGGGCAGCACGTCGGCGCGCCTGCGGGGTGGGTAGAGGTGAAACTATGCTTGCTGGCACGCGCATCCCGCACCACCCCCACGTCCGCGCGCACCATGCCGCCATCCCACCTCACAGCCAAGCGCCATCGCCGTCGGACGCGGCGACGCCGAGCGGTGGCCTCGCAGACGACGAGCGCGATGAGGCCGCCGCGCCGCCGGGGTGGCCGGCGCGTGCCAGCCGCTGCGTGGCGGGACCAACCCTTCACGGCGACTTCACGTCGGAACGAGTCGGATCGACGATCGACGACTCGCCGCCTGCACCAGCGTGTGCGCCTCGCAATTCTATACAGAATTGTCGGCGGACAGCCGGCAGCAAGAGAAACCGCAGTGAGCGGACCGCCACTGCTGTACTTGACTCTAAAAGTCCGTCGGCCTAAAAGACGCCGCGGACAAAAGAATTTCGGCGGGCGAAATTCCACACATGACTGTGAACACATCCACAGTCTACTAAGAGCATAGCCGTCTACTTAGAAGCACCAAAAGGGCAAGGCATACCGGTGTGAACAAGTCTCCACCGACACCCCCTCGTGCATTGGCCGTTGGTGCTTATCCGACGTCTCGGAGTAGCAACCTGGCCGCAGGAAATCAATTGCATACGGTCTGTAGGCTCCTCGGAGGCGGAGCAAGCCTCAGCATGTTACATGAAGCGCCCGTGCCAAAGGAACGCAACGAAGGGAGTGAGGAGCACGCCCAACCCTTGTCTCTTGTGGCACGCTAAATACCCAAAATTTAAGAACGGCTCAAAGTCGGTAGACACTTCGAGCGGCTGGGAATCGCGTACCAAATTTAGCAGTCGGAGAAGAATGGCTATTTGAAAGATGCAAGGTTGAAAACAGCCTTCAGGAACGAGTGGTAGCCATACTTGTCTCCAACCTTCGTGAGCGAGTCGGCTACTCGCTTAGTGTGGGTAAACGAAAGTAGCGTATACGCTACTATGAATGAAGAATCCGAAAAAACACGCTGCGGGCAGTCCACCCGAGCCAGCCAGCTGCCGGCTCGCACGGCAGCCTCTTCCTCTCGACCAGCCTCAACTTCCGTACAGTCAACATTTTGTCGCTGCGTGCTCGTGGTGAGCTGTGGCGGCGGTCGAAGTTCGCCCAGGTTCGGTGACGAGCGCCAGACGATAGTAGTGTCTCTGTTCGCCCTGTGCATGTCAGGCCAGGCTGCAGCAGGGCACTACCATCGTGCTGCCCTGTTGCAGCCTGACTTTGCCCACTGTGCACAGTCGCCAGAGCACCACCACCGCCCGGCATCGTGTCACGGCGAGCTCCTTCTGCGCCCGCTCGCGAGGCTCTCGCGCTGGCACACTTTGGCCATCTGCTGCTCGCGTTCGGCGAGCTCTTCTCCGCACTCCTGCCACGGTGCCGTCACCACACACCTTCTGGCCGGCCTGAGCCGCGCGGGGTCGCCGGCGGGGGCAACGCGTCGACCTCTCTCTCTGGTGCACCACGGGCCGCAACGGCCTGCGAGCAGCGTGCGCGAGGAGGCAGTGTGCCGGCACAGTCGAGCCGGAGCATCGGGTTCTTGATGCTTGTGGGGTCAAGTCTGACCTTATGCGGCCTAATATGCAACATAATGCTATGCTCTCACCCAGCCTTTTGAGATATGGTCCCTCAAAGTCGAATTTTCGTTTCTCGGGTCCGTTGGCCTCTTTCGTAGGGAAGAATTTTGATACCCGTCAAGACGCCTGCTGGGGGCAGCTTTGCGATGAAGCCGTTTGTTCCCCCAGCAAGGCACACACAAGACAGATAGGA